TGTCCATAAATTCATCATTTCTGAACAGTGTCTTCAAAAGATGGCCTAATGCACAGTCTGGGTCAGCTCTACCTGAAATGTTCATGATGGAGAAAACAAGAGCTGATTTTATTTTGAATAATTTAATACAATCAAGACCTCTTATTGACTGAGAGTGAGATCTGCACTGTTAAAATTACAGACTAAGTTTTTTTCCCTTAGGACATACATCTGAGCCAAAAAAAAAAAAAGGTTCTGTCACTTAAGAGTATGGACTGAGAAAATGAGGCTCATAAGATTTTTAATAATCAGGGTCCAATAAAAGGAGAAGATTCTAATTAAAGCCAAAATTTAAAAATTTTCAAGCTTTTCAGTGAAATACAACCCACTAAATTGACCAATCATTGTGCATGTACTAACTGAGAAAAATTTATAATAAAGTAATTAATTTCATTGACAGCCAGGCTATATCAGTTTGACCACATGAGGCCATCACTGTGGCATGGGCACTTCTCACACCAAGCCTCATCTAAGTTCTTGTGTTTTCTTGTGACTCAAGTAAGTAGATAAGTACAGTGCCTCTTTAACACAGTAAGTCTAGTGAAGATTCCACCAGGAACAAAAAGAAGAATTGACATTGAATAAGAAGCAAGAACAACACTTCTCATCCATGAAAGTTTGAATTACTGCTGTTTGTCATGTGTTATCATTCTTTTTCATGCAGAGTGTGTCTTGGACCTGTTTCATTATTGGCAGGCCTTGGTTCTCTTCAATATACATATTGTTTCTTATTGGCTTGCAGTTAATGGAAGAGGTTTACACAACAAACACGCTGACAAAGGGCTAATGCTTGAAATGTTTTGAAACTCTTTACGGTGCCAATTAACATTATCAACTCAGTTAATAAAACCAAATTATCTTGTTAAACTCCCCCACGGATGCAGCATCACAATTTTTTCAAAGAAACTTACCCCCTTTATGTCTGTAGCTATCCTTCCTAGTATCTGAGAATACCTTACACTACATTACCTAATGTATTTGTAATAGATGTTATAATGTATAAAACACAAATAGTGTGTAATGTGAAAAGGTAGCTTTGCACTTTTACCTGGATGCCAATCATCAAAAGGATCTGGATCTAGTTTATGATATGCCTCATTCTCATGTTCCACAAGCTCTGCTATCCTATATGAGTGATTTTAAAACGTAAAAACACTTTTGAATCTACTTTTTGCCAGATTGTTTGTTCACTTTTTGTAGAGCCCAACATGAACAATGTTACTGATCTTACAGTTCCAGTAAGTAGTCATACACACTGAGTGTGTATCACACAATTATCACGGCCAAGGCTTGAAACTAAAAACTCCCCTCCAGAATCTAGCACACAAATCATTCGTCCATTGTCTTTCCCATTTATTTTCTACCTTTCCATGCTATGTTTTATACGTTCTGAGAGAGGAAAAGGAATTTTTTTCGGTATGTAATGACAGCGACATGCTAACCCAACAACAGTTTTATCATTGGCAGACCACCATGAGCCTCGCTAAGTGGAAGGTATCTGTTGACATGTAAGATGAACTGGAGAAACCAGTCAATCATTGTGTAATTCATAATAATAATTTCAAAGCATATTAACGAATGAAACCAATTGCATTGAGGCAGCTACTTGAAAGCTTTCAGGGGCTATTATCATCGCCTTTTTTTTTTTTTGTTTGATTTTTTTGCAAATTTAAAAAAAGATACTACTTCTAATACACTTCACCAACCTTTGTAGAGTTTTAACGGGTGATAGATTATTCTGATCTTCCTTTCGCCAAGTATCCAAAAGGGTACTGAGTTCAGAGGTGCTACAAATAGACAATTTACCTCAACGTGCAGAGTTTCGAAGATCGAAAAGCCCGCCATTTTGATCCGAAAGATATGATACAAGATTACATGGTCTTCCTCTTCGAAAGTGATATCACTTTTCTCGGCATAATTACTCTGATATTACTGCGAGTGATTTTGTTGACTGTGTAAAGATCAGATGTAATTCCTGTGTGTAAACTATATTTACGACGAAGTTTAGTCAAATGGCGAGTTCCAACACAACACGCACTAAGTCCCAGGCTATTATCAAATTTCGCGTGGAATGCCTAGTTGTTATTGACCTCTAACCAGTCTTTTTTATCTTGCAACTCGGTCGGCTGTGATCTTATTTGGAATGGTTCACCTTTAACGACCAAAAATAATCATGACAAATGAATGACCTCCATTGTATTTTGCCCCTCAGTAGTAGAGCATCGGAGAGCAGAATCCGAAGGTCTGAAGTTCGATTCCTCATGGGGACTCAGAAGTTTTCTTTGTCCCACGCTCGTCACAAGACTAAAATCATCTTCATTTCTTAACCGAGCTCAAAACTTACCATCTCTCTTATTTCTCGCTAACTGCTTGTTTATGAAATTGCAACTCTTCGTAAGCGCTTATATGAATGCATTATGAATTCATTCGAAAAATTGTTGTAAATTAATCACACATACATATGCATGCATAGGGAGCCCTGAACGAAAAAAATCTACATATATATGTATATAATTTATTCGCCCGTCGGGAGGTCCGTATTGGGAAAAACTGTGCCCTCAGGTCTTGAGTACTCGCTTGAGTAAAGCTTTTCCCAATACGGACCGACCCCAGGCTGGTGAATAACATTTTACATTTTACTACATAAATGAGTCCTCACATAGATCCATAAAGTAGTCTGGAACATACCAGAAGCTTACAAAAGAACTATTTTAGTAGTATTACTTAATAACTGTGTCATCAACTGCGTCACTTGATGTCAACATGAATAAGCAGTCTGGGGATTTCTAGAAGCTTATATTTACAACAACAATTACTCATAACAATAGATTCTTGCCGAACGAAGTCGAAAGTCGCTAAATATAAGTATTCCTTTCGCGATGACAAAAACCGAAAAAAGGAAGAAGGTGCCGTTAACTTTGCATAAAGATGCATTTCTGGATCAAAAAGTCATTCTCTTTGAATGTTGACGACCTCACCTCGAATCGAGCCAGTAAGAGGGCAAGAAAATTAGGAGCTTGCAACCATCTGGAGAATTCAATTGACTTCTGAATAAACGGGTTCCTATAATTAGAAATTTATTATCACTTTGTTCCGTAATGATACTCAATCCAACACGTTCGAAAATTCAGATCGAGAGTAATTGAGGCATCTTATGTTTATTATGAAATTTTTTATAAGACTGGTAGGCATGAAACGTTCAAGGCGTTTCAAATGAGCAAACACCTTTGACGCTGAATAATTCTGAGGAGAAACCCTCCGTAAAAACATAGATAGTTATCAGATGGGTAAACACTGTTCTGTTGGGATAGAAATGGCGAGAATGACAATAACAACTGAAATAATGACGATACATGTAAATAATAAAAATACTTATAACCATACTAATAAAATGATTCATGATAATCTACAGATGGGTAAATTCTCGTGTAGCTTTAATGTTTCCGAATACCGTTCCTGATCGGCAAATTAGCATCATATTCTTCCTGTTGATCAAAGATTAGAATCATGACATCATTATTCTTTTGAGTCAGCCAATCATGTGAGAGATCTGGAGACAGAGTGCATTGTTTTGGAGTCTTTCCTTCTTCGAAAGACCCTGGGAGAAGAGGGAGGACGAAAAATGAAAAACAGACTTCGGTGAAGTTTCTTTCTTTAATTTGCATTACCTCTATTTTAACCACCATTTACTCGCTCAAAAATGTTTAGGTTTATGGAAGATCTTGTTGTAATTACAGCCCTAAATCTTTCGGGTTCTTTGGAAAGAATTTGGTTAAGTTTAAGGGAAAAGAAATAAAATGTTATTCACCAGCCTAGGGTTGGTCCGTATTGGGAAAAACTGTGCCCTCCGTCTTGAGTCCTCCCCCTTCTCCCACGGTCTTTCGAAGAAGGAAAGGCTCCCAAACAATGCACTCTGTCTCCGTCACCCCTATCTACCAACCTTGTGAACAAGGCGTAAGTTCATTTTGTTTTCTTAGTTTTTTGGGGTTTTTTTGGTGGTGGTGGTGGTGGTGGGGGGGGGGGGGGGAAGAGAGTGGTGCGAAGGGAAAAGGGGGGAATCGATGTCATTTGACTTCCGTTATTTTTCCCTAAAGTTATCTATTACATTATTCCATATGTTCGAGCCTTTCTACTAATCCAGTGTTTCTTCAACTGAGTGTTTTTCTATCTTTGCAAGATGTTCCGTAAACCATCGACATGCGTCACTCGGTGGGCGTTTAGATTAAACTTATCGCCAAGAGATATTGTTTTTCTTATCTTTTCATAATTATTATTCCTTTTAAAAATTGTTCTCAGGGGAAGTGGGATTGGTTAGCCTTTCACTCCCAGTGGTGATCACTATGAATCTTCTTCCTATGATATCCACACATTTTTCAGCAGACAGGTAATGAGAATATTCAAACTTATCAGGTAGAGGTTGTCATCTTGATCTAACATCAAATTCTTGTATCCAATTAAAAAGGAAATGTGTAGCACAAAGAGGGGAGAATTGACAATCAGATCTTGAAAGTTAAAGGTTTAACCTCCCCCCAGCCCACCCCTGTTTGCCTTCCTGAGAGTAAGCCAGCCAACATATTACATCCGCACGCTCACGCGATTCTCTTCTTGAAAAAAAAATAGAAACAAAGGAAGCATTTTTGTCTTAAAAGACAATACATCAAGAAAAGAAAGTGAAAATAAAATAAGGAACATTTTTCAATCCCGTGGTGCCCCTTTTTATCTCCAAGGTGTGGAAACAAACAGTGCCTTAGTATACATATTTATAGGAGACTATATATGTTGGACATTTTTTTTCTCGGCACCTGTCGCTGGAGTGAAATAAACGCTTGCCAATTACTGATAACTGACAAAAAGTTAACAAAAACGTTGTAGAAAAAGCAGACGAATCAATATACACTTGCAAAAGCAAAAGGAGACTAAACTAAAACAAGAAACGAAAACGAAGAAAGAAAAAGCAGAAGGAAAATATAAACTGTTGGAAATGGGAAAATGTCTTGACAGCTGACGATTCAAAAAGTCTGATGACGTCACTAAACTTTGTCATTTGTCACCAGATGGCTTCAAGCTTCAAGGATCTCTCACTTGATTGGCTGATTCAAAAGAATGATGATGCCATGATTCTAATCTTTTATCAACAGGAAGAATATGATGCTAATTTGCCGATCAGCAACGGTATTCGAAAACATTAAAGCTACACGAGAATTTATCCACCTATAGATTATCATTATTCATTTTATTAGTATGGTTATAAGTATTTTTATTATTTACATGTATCATCATCGTCATTATTGCAATTGTTATTGTCATTCTCGCCATTTCTATCCCAACAGAACAGTGTTTACCCATCTGATAACTATCTATTTTTTACGGAGGGTTTCTCCTCAGAATTATTCAGCGTCAAAGGTGTTTGCTCATTTGAAACGCCTTGAACGTTTCATGCCTACCAGTCTTATAAAAAATTTCATAATAAACATAAGATGCCTCAATTACTCTCGATCTGAATTTTCGAACGTGTTGGATTGAGTATCATTACGGAACAAAGTGATAATAAATTTCTAATTATAGGAACCCGTTTATTCAGAAGTTAATTGAATTCTCCAGATGGTTGCAAGCTCCTAATTTTAAGAGAGAGAATGATATTTGGATTCAGAAATACATCTTGCAAAGTTAACGGCACCTTCTTCCTTTTTTCGGTTTTTGTCATCGCGAAAGGAATATTTATATTTAGAGACCTTCGACTTTGTTCGGCAAGAATCTACTGTTATGAGTAATTGTTGTTGTAAATATAAGCTTCCAGAAATCTCCAGACTGCTTATTCATGCTGACATCAAGTGACGCAGTTGATGACGCAGTTAAAATAGTTCTTTTGTAAGCTTCTGGAATGTTTCAGAACACTTTGTGAATGTATATAAGGACTCATTTATGTAGTGGTAGTTGTTGTTATCGTCGGGAGTGACCGACTGTGAAGAAAGCTATACCTTGAGAGAGAGCTATAGTGGAAGATTGCTAATTTCAAGAAACATTGGAGGAAAATGTGAGTTTGGCTCAGTAGTGAACTAAGATATAGACTGTAGTGGGCTTAAGTAAGTTTATCGAGGATAATTATTGAACTGCGTTCAGGAGTCGCCCCTTATTAAGTTTATTAGTCGTTGTTTAATAAAGTAGTTGAGTAGGATTGCAGTATTTTTCTGTCGGTTAGATTATACCGTAATACTATTCATTCTCAGAGAGACTCCTTAGAGAAAGGTATTTTTTTGGCTATTTTTGTACCGTGTGGAACATTGAAAATATGGTTATTCTATATATAATTCAGTTGTTACCTGCTGATGATGTGCCGTCCATAATTAATCATCGCCGATCATCATCATCTCTATTATTTCGACTCGGTTGTTAAATAATTATTTCAAACCTTATGATTACCATTATTTCGGTATATTGAGCATTTTTGGGCCAATATTTTTTAAGAGTACTTTGCTTCTGTATACTTTTGTTTGTTGATGTATCTCTTATAAAGTGTTTGTTAAATAAGCTTTGCTTATATAGTTCTAGATCTAAGTGGTCGTTATACCTGAATTATATTCGCATATTCACTTGTTTTCCCCTTTACGAAAAAAGGAAAAACTGCTCAAGTATTTTGTTTTAAAATAGTACATTAAATAGGAAGGGAACAAAAAAAAAATTGAAGGGAGAGATCATGCAATTCTGAGGTAGTACAGTTATCGTTATCAATGGATGGGAAACACACCGTGCGCTAGAATATTAAAAAAAAAATTCATGTTGGACATTTTTCTTTACAGCACCTGTCGGTCGAATTAACAATCATGTATTTTGGTTAATTTACATTATTTGTTCTTGGTCTCTCGTTCTCGAGAAAACGCTGACTGCTGATAACTTAAAAAAATAAAAGATAAAATGATGGTGATAATTGAAAATAATTATTGCAAATGAAAAGAAGACGAAACAAACCAAACGAAACAATAAAATTGAAAAGCAAAAACATGACAAATGATAATAATAAAATAAT